AGTTGACACATCCCACAGGGAGGACCAGGCTTTATCTGTATGTGCAACTCCAGTGTCCTATGCACATTTAAACATTTAGATAGGGCAGGGCTGCAACTATTTATTGAATATTTACAATAATTCAATTATAAAAAACATATTCTTCGCTTAATGCACGGCTCTGTGTCATTGTCACCATGAAAACAAGACATTGCAAACTTTCTCGACTAAAAACTACCTGCAATAGAAACTTATTCAGGAGAAGTGTGTGAATAAAATCTACATGGGCGAGTAAAACTCTTACTACTCCCTGAAAGACAGAGTGAAGGTTTATGCCTTTATATTTTATGTTGTTTGACTTTGATGTTAGACTGTACTTTAGTGTATTTATATAATTTTGCATTTAAGAAATGTTTGACTTTACATACAGTCAGTGGGCTTGGTTATTTTTTGACAAATAGAACAAAAACTTTCTAAAATGGAAAAGATCTTTATTTTTTCTCTTTTGAATAATTATGATTTGTCATGTTATTTATCATTCAATTATGAATGATAAATAATAAGACACAAGTACTAATTGATGGAATAGATTACTAAAAGAATCGTTAGCTTGCAGGAAACAGATGAGGGCGTCATTGACACAGAACTGTGTTGTAGTTTAATTCCAGACTCCATGATCAGGAATCTCACTGCATACATTGTTCACAAACACAAAGCCGATTAAAGTGAGGGAATGAATAAAATCAGTTTAATGCTCTATTTTCCTCTTTGATTTCCTGGTAAAATTGAGCCTTTAGTATCTGGTTTTGACTTTAAAACATATTTTTGTCCTACAGAGTTGAATACACTGCTGAGGTGCTGCAGTTTCAGTTTGTTTTTTATACTCAACCCTTCCTTTTGTGTTGCAGGAGCACCAGTGAAGGGATGGTGGAGACCCTTGAAGTTGTTACCTTGGCTGGTGATGTTCCAGTGAAGAGGTTTGCTCAAGAGAACCACCTTCCACTACACAGTTGGCCCCCTGATGATGTGAATGGACGGTTTGATGTTGGCGTGGTCGTGTCTTTTGGCTGCCTACTTCCTGAGAGACTAATCAGCAAGTTTCCATAGTGAGCATTTATCGTTGATCAATCGTTAAAACCTGGGGACTGATGCCGTGCCGTGCTGTGATCTCACTGTCTCTGAAATGTTGTGACAATGTCCTCAGTACCCAGGACGGCCTCTTATAGCTCTCACGTCTGGGTTTTTCAAGGGGGGGTTAATTGTTGTAATCAGAGTTTTCTTTTCTGTTTTAAGAATCAGTTTAACGTCTCAGTAAACTCGTGCAAATGCACTGGGACGAGAAAATAAAACAAAGTAGATGATACTGTGGAGAGACACATAAATACAGTGTACATATGATGGGTGACAAATTAAAAGAAAAGGCTGAACCCTTGGCCCTGTCACTGACAGGTCCAATTAGTCTACAGGTAAGCTGTGGAAATGTTTCGCTTTCACACCCGAATCATAAAATCTCTGTTAGCACTTTCTGCTGACATCCTCAAAGACAGAATGAATGAATATCTAGATTAGTGATTCCCCCCCCAAATCAAGGACATATATGACTTCCTCTTGTATTTTGATTAGAGTGAAGATTTAAGATTAGATAGGCCTCTGGGATTTTCTTTTTTTTTTTCTTTTTGTTTGGTTTTTTTTGGGAGGGGGGGGGAGGAATAGCTGATCTAGATGAATGGTGTCATTAGAGTTTAATTGTTTACTAAATGTTTGAGGAGTGAAATAAACCGCAATGGGGGGGGGAACATTTTTCTTGTAAAACAAAGGGGGGCCCAGCAAAATAAGTTTGGGAACCACTGCTCTAAGGCACAGTCAAGCCCATAATTATTCATGCCCCTGGCACATTTTGGCTTAAAGTTACTTTTATTTAACAAGCGAGGGTTTTTTTTTTTTGTTTTTTCGTTTGTATTTGGACTGGAAATGACACAGGCGTCTCCCAAAAGATAATAAGACGATGTACAAGAGGTATCATTGTGGGGAAAAAAATATTTCTCCGCTTTTATTTAGATTTGATCAAAAAGTGTCATGTCCAAAATGATTCATACCCTTCACAAACTGTCAGTCTCTGGGAAAATCCAAAAATTTATATCACCATTTCAAATAGTCCAAGCTGTTCTAAAGCATCCTAATGACCCTGATTAATTGGGAACAGCTTTTTTTAACCAAAACAACAGGCGAAATTCAATTCAATTTTATTTACACAGCGCCAAATCACAACAACAGTCGCCTCAAGGCGCTTTATATTGTAAGGTAGACCCTACAATAATACAGAGGAAAAAAAACCCCAACAATCATATGACCCCCTATGAGAAACCACTTTGGCTACAGTGGGAAGTAAAAACTCCCTTTTAACAGGAAGTTAACTAGGGAAAAACCAGGCTCAGGGAGGGGCGGCTATCTGCTGCGACCGGTTGGGGTGAAAGCTTACAGCACCTGGTATTCCCAGGCGGTCTCCCATCCAAGTACTAACCAAGCTCAACCCTGTCTAGCTCCCGAGATCAGACGAGATCGGGTGAAAAACAGCAGCTCTGTGCAGTTGCTTATGGACAGTCATGGCTAAGACTCAGTGAGGACCTCCGGCTGTGCTTTGTGGCTGCTCACAAGGAAAGGGATACAAGGCCCTATTTAAATATTCTCAAGTTCTAGTGGCTACAGCATAAAGTGTTATTAAAAAATACACACCTGTGCTGGCCAGATAAGATAGTGAAAGAGGTGAAAAAGAATCCAAGGTCCACCACTAAGGCCATCCTGGGGAATCTGGGCTCTGTTGGTGGCAGACAGTCCAACGGATACTGCACACTGTTGGGTTCCACGGATGTAGACTGAAGAGGACGCCAATGCTCATCTGGATAAGGAAGAAGATTTCTGGTCTTCTGTGTTAAATGAATCAAAAATTTAATTGTTTGATCACAATGATGTTTGCTTCATTAGGTGTTAAAAAAACAAAAAAGGGAGAAGCCTTCAACCTTGAGAACATCCCCTACTGTCAAACATGGTGGTGGGAACCTAATGCTTTGGGGATGTTTTTCAGCCAATGGACCAGGGAGTGTAATCACAGTGAACGGCACCATGAAAAAAAGAGCAACACAACTCTGAATGAATCAGGCAGTCTGCAGAGAAACTTGGCCTTGGGCACCGGCGAACATTTCAGCACGACAACGACCCAAAACACAGCAAAAGTGGTGAAGAAATGGTTGGCAGACAAAAACATTAACATTTTGCAGCGGCCTAGCCAGAGTCCTGACATGAATTAAGAATCTGTGGAGGGAGCTAAAGGGTCATAGACCCTCCAACCTGAAAGAGTTGGAGCTCATTGCTAAAGATGAATGGGTGAAAATACCCGTGGAGACGTGCAAAAAAAGCTGTTCTGCAATTATAGGAAGCTTTTGATTGATGTAATAGCCAATAAAGGCTTTTCTATTGATTATGGAGAATGGTATGAATAATTTTGAACGTAACACTTTTTGCTCAAATCTAAATCAAAGCTGAGATTTTTCCCCCCACAACGATACCTCTCGTGCAACGTCTTATCTTTTGGGAGACGCCCATGTCATGTCCGGTCAAAAACGCCAACTCGCTGGTTAAATATGAGTAACTTTAAGTCAAAATGTGCAGAGGTATGAATAATTATGGGCTTGACTGAAGCTGTTCTACACCAGGCATGAAATCAGAACCTGTATATATTTTGTCCACACAAACAGACACTGCATTCTCTTTCAGTGGGATTTTGAATGTTCACCCTAGCCTGCTGCCGAGATGGCGAGGTCCAGCTCCTATCTTCCACACCATCTTGCATGGTGACAGTGTGACAGGAGTCTCCATCATCCAGATCCGACCTCACAGGTAAACAGCAGATAAATGTCTTTTCTTTTTCCTGATAACAACCGTAACAGAGCTCAATATCACCCTGCAGGTTTGATGTGGGGCCTATTCTCAACCAGCAACTCTATCAGGTCCCTGAGAATTGCACTGCTGATGAGCTGGGAGGCACTCTAGCCACAATGGGAGCACATCTCGTGAGTTGATAGAACATGCAACGTACAACTTCAAGTCCATAAAAGTTGGGATGATCTGAAAGTCTCATAAACCCAATCTATTTACAATAGAACGTGAAAATCTATTAAATGTTTACATTGAGAAAATTTCCCATTTTAAGGACAATATGAGCTCATTTTGAATTTTATGGCAGCAACATCTCAATACCAAACGTTCTCAGCTGGTGAAGGTCTGGACTGCAGGCAGGCCAGTTCAGCAACAGGAGTCTTCTGTTTCAAATATATGCACCTTTCAGCATTGTTAGAGCATTTCCAGATGTGCAAGCTGCCAGCTGCATAGGCACTAATGCACCCCCACAACATCAGAGATGCAGGGCTTTGAACTGATAACAAGCAAACCTTGGTAAAGATTATTGAACCTCTGCCCCAGCTTTACTTCAGAGAAACACGACCTCCTTCAGATACTCCTTTTAAACCCATTCATTGTAATTATCTGTTGTCAGTTAAACTGATTAGATCAGGGGTCTCGACCTCCAGTCCTCGAGGTCCTGAAACGTTTCCATGTGTCGCTGTTTTGAGATTTGCAAATGAATTACATTTTTTTACTAACATTCCCACAATGTCAGAACTGTTGAAGAACATGGTTATTCTTTTACCAGCAGGACTGTAACATGATTGCTTGTGCGTGCTTTTGCAGCTGATTAACACATTGATGTCACTGTCTGAGAGGATGGAAAATCAAAGGGAACAAGGACAAACTGGTGCAACATTTGGTGCGTAACCCTGAGCTGGATACATCTAGTTGTCTGAATGAAAAACTGGTCTTCTAACTTTCAACATGATTTCCTCCAACAGCCCCAAAAATCAAGATGTCCATGAGCTGGATTGTGTGGGAGGAACAGACTTGTGACCAAATTGACCGTCTGTATCGTGCAGTCGGGTCCCGGGTAAGGCTCACTGCATAACTGCGTCATGCCAAACTCTCTTGGAGATCTCAACAATGACCCCTCTCTTACATCAGATCCCTTTGAGGACTATGTGGATGAACAGAACAATAAAACTTCTGGATTTTGCTGGAAAATGTCATGTGTCATTATCAGGTAAACAGACGGTATGAGTGTTTGTGACGTTGGTGGAGTTTTAAATGAATGTCTTGGCCAGATTCTATGCATAAAGTGCCCAAATATTTCTCTTTGAGTTGGGATCTTTTGGTGTGAACAAGAAGCTGGCCAACAGAGGCACAGGTCATGTGACTCAAAGCTAAGGGTTGTTCAACAGCTTCTAAAAGATGCAAACCAGGGAAAATATGAGGATTGGATCCTCTCATTAAATCACAGCTGCCTTGACAGCCTCTATTTTTAGAAAATCCTTGATCCAGTAATAAGAGCACTAACCTGGACTTGAGAGGATATTTTTCCCATATCAGCTTCTTTTCTTGGCTAAAATTCAGAATCACATTCAAAATCCTCCTCACAGTCAAGGTCTTAAGTAACAAGGCCTGATCTTTTTGTGAAGACCTCATAGTGCCATATCACCACAGTAGTTCCTCTGATACTGCTGGTTTACCTGTGGCTCCTAGAGTATTTAAAAACAGTATGGGAGGCAGAGCCTTCAGCTTTTAGGCCCCTCTCCTGTGGAACCAGCTCCCAGGTTGGATTCGGGAAACAGTCACCTTGTTGTTTTTAAGATTAGATTAAGATTCCCTTTTGATACAGCATATAGTTAGGGCTGCATCAGGTTACCATGAATCCTCCCTTAGTTAGGAAGCTCTAGGTTTAGGTTCCTGGGAACTTCCCATGATGCACTGAGTGTTTCTTCTTCACTCACTATGTGTTTATACACCACTCTGCATTTAATCATTAGTCATTAATGTCTAGCTCTCCTGCACATTGGGATTTTGTCCTATCTTTCTCCCCACACCCCCAACCAGTCGCAGCAGATGGCCGCCCCTCCCTGAGCCTGGTTCTTCCAGAGGTTTCTTTGTGTTTAAAGGTCTTTTTCTTCCCACTGTTGTCAACGGGGCTTGCTCACAGGGGGTCGACTGCTGCTGGAGATTCTTTCTAATATTGCAGAGTATTTACTTGACAATGTGCGATGAGGCGACTTTTGCAACTTGGTGCTATAAATAGAATGAAATCCAAACTGGATAACTAAAAATTGCATTACTTAGTGATAAGTTGTGAGGTCTGCATCAGCTAGAAGGAATGTGAGACTACTGCAAGCAAGAAATAGTAAATGGGAAAACTCTGATGATTTCAAGGCATTAACTGCTGCCAGTGTGAGGACTAGTTTCTGGTCTCTGCGTCGGGGAAATTGGGCTTTCGGTATCAAGGACACTTTACATGCAGACCAGAAGTATCTAGGCTCAAACCACAAACTTTCCAATTAGTGAACAATCCAGACATACTAAAAGAGTTTTTCAAAAAAAAAGATCATCTCAGCCACAAAAATGAACATACATGATAATGTCACTGCATCTGTGTTGTAGACCTTTGTTAATAAGTAAACCTTTAAATAGAAATGTTTGTAGAATCAGAGGTGGGAACTTCTAAGTGAGCTGTGGAAGTTGTAATTTGACATAAACGTGCCCTACTGTATGGTATTCCAATATTGTATAACAATAACACTGTGCTGCCATTATCATTCACATGCTGTTTGCAGATCAAAGAAGGAACCCCATCCCCGGTTCAGTGAGCTTTCAGAAGGAGTCGAATACTCTCGCAGTCTGCTGCAAGGTTGGTCCAGCTGTTCCCTCGAGCACCCCTGACCTTCTTAACTGCATGCTTACCATAGCGTCTGCACTTTTCCTTAGTTTCTTAGTGAGGTGACAGGTGACTTTCACACAGTTGCCACCATTGCTAAGCAACATATCAAAGACATTGTATTTGTGCAAATTAATTGAATGGTGTGGTTAAATGTTCGTCCGTGTTGGAGATATTTCTCCACGTGGTTGTGATCAGTATTGGATTCATTACTGAAAAATAATGTATTACACAAAAAACACTTTTCTTTGAAGTAATTGATTAATTACTCCTAGAAGAAAGTAATTTGTTCTTAGTGTTAGCATGCAGTCTGTGCAGGTGCTTGCAAAGAGCTGAAATTGTGTTAGCAGCAGGACGTGGTTGTTTCTGTGGGGTGGCGGTGTTTCTGCTTCATCCTGACATCTGCAATGACCACCTTGGTTTTCTTCGTGATGAGGAACCAAGTAGTTCTTTGCACTCCACTCTGGCAGATGCTGCACCTCGTCCCTGACGGCCATCATGTCCCATTCAGTTATAAGGCCCACCAAGGTGGCTTCATCTGCACTGGTAACATCAGCTAGCTGTTGGCACATTTTGGGGATGGGTGCGGATGTTATTAGGACCTTTACTCTTATTCACCGTCACATCTGAGGAGAAAACTCTTAGCAGCATGGTCTCCAGAGGTGGAGAGGACTTTATAGCAGACTCTTTGTTGAGGAGAAACATACTCCGTCAACATAAACTCACACATAGTGAGAGCAGTTTGATACCAGCATTCAGACTTTGGCAGTGTTGCATTTTTTCTTGTCACCTGACCAAAAGGAAGACTTTTTGTAAAATATCAGTCATAAGGCACCGCACATTTAAATAGCTTTAAGATTATAGCACCATGGTTTCATCCACAAAGAAGCTGCCAGTGCATACAGTCTCTACACCAGGATGTTGTTTGAGCTATAAACAGCATCAGATAATTACAGGAGCTAAAGAATGTAACAATAAATGTGCAGCAAAGCCACATATGAGCGGGCAGAGTCAGGTATGGGGTCTTCACACCCCCTTCTTTGGCTGCCTGGTCGGGTCTGGGCTTTTGGGCCTGCCTGCTGGACAGAGGGCAGTCTGTGGGCCACCCCAGAGCAAAGGGAGACATCTCCTGTGTCTGGGGGCGGATTCCCACTCTGGGGAGGATGGCACCTGGACCTGGGGTATAGAGTCTGTATTTATATATGTGTGTGCCTGTTTGTCTACGTTTATGTG